GGAAGGAAGGAAGGAAGGAAGGAAGGAAGGAAGGAAGGAAGGAAGGAAGGAAAAATAATCTCGTTTCTAATCATACTTTATGAGACAGTAAGTATTCTCAATGTTTTATAGAAAACTTAGTTAGTTAGTTAGTTAGTTAGTTAGTTAGTTAGTTAGTTAGTTAGTTAGTTAGTAGATTTATAGGCCGCTGAATCCCGGAGGACTCCGGGTGGCTGTACTAACTTGTACTAACTTAGTAACAACCTTACTTTACACCATTATAATCAACCAATTCCCTGCCTCTATAATGTTCCCCATAGGAGTGAAATCTATAGTTCTGGGATAACAAGAAAGGTTTTTGTACTTAAACATTATAGTGACTTCTGAAGTACAGTTATTTCAGAATACTTTTTGCAATTATCTTCCAATTCAATAGATTCTACTTCAATGACCTCTGATTTTCCTCATTCTCATGCTCCAGAGTAAGCACTATCATTTCACAGCTTTATAGCTTCTCTGTTTTTCCCACAAGAGGTCAGGGTTGTGTTATTATAATGCATCGTCCCCACGGCAGCAAGTTTCAATGGCCTTATTACAATTTTCACATTCTCACATATCTGGATGATTTAAAAGTCATTCAGATTCACAGAGTAGATCTGTCTGCACATGTTTAATTCTGCTGATATCTTGCCATTATTTTCTCACATTTTTCTCACATTCGTTATTCAAACAAATACGGTGTCTGTTAACTTTCTAGTTTTGAAGCCAAACTTTTGCGCCACCTTTTAATAGGATACAGCCATGCTGAGATATAAGCATGTTTATTTTAAGTCTATGTGCCTATCTTTGGGTGTGAACTATAATTGTACATGTAATTGAGAGATAATATGAGGTAGATAGTATATCCACACATTTTGATCTACTTTATTATCTAATAAGCCAAGCAAAACCGCTTCCTAGGTTTCATAACACACTCTTTTTACAATAATCTTACTTCATGTGGTGTAACAAATACTGTACTACCTTTATATTCTAATTTTTAGAGTATTACTAGACTACCCATGTCCTACTGGGTCTTCATCTCAGAAATATTCTTTTTTTCTAAACAGACAAACAGAATGACAGCACTGATGATATTACCTAGTTTGGTAATAGAAAATCTACAAGAAAAAGCTCGGAGGGCACCATGATTCCTCATTTCAACCCTGAGCTACAAATATTCTTTCCTATCAGTAGAATGACAACAGGTGAGCAAAAAAACAGTGGGACCAAGAAGGACCTCCAATTCCCTACCAGCTCCTCCCTAAGGGTCCTTGTGGGAAGCTGGCAGGGAGCAGGGGAAATCTCCTGTCCTTCTTTCCCTATTGAGGTCTTGTATATTCAAGTCATGTGTAGGAATTCTAGCAGTAATTAGTGTTTGCCACATTCAGGTAGTCCTTGACTTACAACCACAACTGAGTCCACAATTTATGTTGCTAAGCGAGACGTTTGTTAAGTCAGTTTTGCCCTAATTTATGACCTTTCTTGACACAGTTGTTAAGTGAATCACTGCAGTTGTTAAGTTAGTAACACATTGGTTAATTGAATCTGGTTCAGGGTGCAATACTGCAGGCCACTTCAGCTGACTGCTATCTGCAGTTCAGCAGTTCTAATCTCA